ACAGCACTGATTGGACAAGCAATGTAATGTGATCATCTGCAGCCAGTGATGGACAAGCGGGTGTGTCATAACTAATTGACATGTTGAGTCACGTGTGTCTTACCCTCGATGGCAGAGGTTCCGTCGAACCCCTGAGACCGACTCACCGAACCCCTGGGGTGTGATCGAACCCAGGTTAAGAACCACTGCTGTAGTGGCATCTGTTTTGCAAAATAGTCAATATGTAATGGCTTTAAGTACATCTTACATGCCGACAAAAGCATGAAACCGTTTTTTTTTTTTTTTTGGTGAGTAGACATGGCCTATTATCATTGAAGTGAATAAGGAGTGTAGATCACATAGTTGCTTCGTTCTTGTCCTCTTTCACATGTTTGTAGTTGCTGCGCTAACTGAGCCTCCCCCCACCCCTCCTCCCCACCCCCCACACACACTGAAACCCTCACAAAATGAAAGACATGCTGTGTCAGCAGTAAGGTGATACTTGAGGGGTGCAAAATGGGATTCATGCCCCACCACTTCTGATCACGTGACTGTCTAACGGCGGCTGTGGTGATGGGTTAACATGGGCTGTCCCAAACTGTGAGGTCATAGCGGGAAAAACACGTCATGGTTGGCGCTGCTAACCCAGACCATCCCAAGTTTTTTGGAAATCCCCCTCCCAACGTGTCACGAAGTGCTGATTCATTCATTCAGATGCTTGTTGCTTTTGCTGATAAACAGAAACTCATTTAGCAGACAAGCATATGCGATGGTGGTCACTCAAAGACTTTACTGTGCAGAAAGCCATGAGCGCGATAAATAAAATCAATGGTGTGATTGTACGGCAAGCAATTTCATTCACTGTGCTGCTGTCACGCTGCACCCTTGAAGCATATGACCCTCACAAGCCGGTTGCGCGCGCACGTGTGCTTCCTGTTGTGTGCAATCACATGACAGATAACAACAAGGAACGCCCACTGACAACAAACACGAGTGTTTGATCAGATTGGAAGCAGCAACCAGAAAAAAAGATGATCATTTTTGACTGTCGATGAGGACTGGACGATTGTGAGAAATAATCCACCGTTAATTGCGATTATTTTCCGTCAATTTTACAATTGCGATTCAGTATGCAATTATTTTTTTCAAGGTCTTATTCCTCTTTTTTAACAAACACAAGCAATTGATGAACCCTTATTATAATAAACATTGTCAGATTTATGATACATAAATCTTTTGATCTTCTACGTTAAGCTTGCACGAAAATGAAAGCAGACGGACCATGAATCATTATAAAAGTCAGTCGGCTTTAGTTAGAGTTGTTAAGGTACTTTGCATTTGACTTGCGGTCTTTTTCGCTTTCACTATAAAGCCAATATGAAAAAAGAGTGGTTTAAATTAAGTCACGAAATCACAAATCAGAGTACAACAGTAATATGAATTTATCTAGGATTTTATCCCCTTCAGGAAGTAATATATAAACATGTGGACTGCACTTTAAAGCACTGAACTTGACACTGTGTAGCTAGCAAGCTAGCTAGCAAGCTAGCTAGCGAGATAGATCAGGGAAATCAGGGGTATGGAGTTACTTTGAGTGATTCTCAAAGTGTGGTACTAGTACTAGTCGTGGTAGTCGGACTCATTCAAATGCTAATTGAAAAAATCTCTACCCAAGCACAGTTCAGTTATATTTAACGTTTTAGTACGATTTTCCTGTACAGTGCCAATGTTCAAACTGTGCAGAATATTCCAGTGACTTGCAATAATAATATTTTTCATGAACACATAGTTCTACTGCACTATTGTATTTAAATGTTGGTTATTATAGTGGTACTTGGAACTCTTTTTTTGGTGGTGTAAAAGTTTTGAGAGTGAGTGGTTTCCTCCTTGCACGGATTTTCATTTTGTTTTTGTGTGTTTGACTGTTTGTCCGGCTCAAAATGCATCACTAACTGTAGCTCTCACTTTTTTTTTTCAATCGAGCAGCAGCAGAACCTTGCTTCTACCGCAATTCAAATTTGGAGTCAATCCACAGCAAAAATTGGGCCAGTCAAAGGCTCGAAAATCGAAAAACTCTATTTGGAACATACTATTTGAGATATTCATAAGTCAAGGGGCTGTTGTGCTTTGTATAATTAAGTTTCAATATTTAGCATATAAAAGATACTGAGGGTGCTACAGTCAGCCGGAGTAGCATAAGTCAAGACACCTGCTTTGTCTTGTTGTTGTCGTCAGGTATAAAGTAACCTGCAGCTGTGGAGTAGCCTGGCTCGCTGTTGCTATGCGACCTTAAACCCGGTTGCTTGTGCACATTAACAAGCACACACACACACACACTCAAGCTGACATTTTTAAAGGAGAAGCAAATGTTTTGCATCCTCAATGTGTTTTCAGACAGCATCTGAAAAGTAAATGTTAGCTTTGCATCTCGTTAGCTGTGTTTGCAGTGAGACAAGTGTCCTGCTCTGAAAGCCTGCATGCACCATATGTGACTTTGCAGGAACCGTAAATGGTAAATGGGCTGTCAGTTATATAGCGATTTTCTACCTTTGGTACTCAAAGCGCTTTATACTGTTTCCTCATTTACCTACTGATGACGCAGCATCAGGAGCAACTGGGGGTTCAGTATCTTGCTCAAGGGCACTTCGACAAGGTTGCAATGGCCAGGGATTGAGTCTCCAACTCCAAAGACACTGCAAGGCTTTTTCTTTTCTGAATTTCAAGAAGCACGTGTTTGTTTGGCTATGTTGCTTGAACACGGATGACTTCATTTTCTGTGTCAACATTGATGCTAATCATGACCTAGGGTGGTGACACGTGAACATTGGTAGTTGCAAGTAATTTACGCCACTTTTGGGTCATAAAATGTCAGATATGCAAAGCAACAGGTAAAGCTACATTGTATAGACTGTAGAAATGTAAGCCATTTCATTCTCAAAATTGATCAGTTGATGAGAAAGTCTCACCGATCAGTAGCGCAGGGCAATATGGAAAAAAAAAAAAAATCACGATGTACGCCATTTTATATCATGATAACAATATACTACGACATATTTTCAGTTGTTCTATAAAGAATGATACAGCACACTATGACTGCTTACCTTTTCTCACTTTGTTTTGAAGTGACATTAAACAGATCTGTATCAAATGAAAAATGCATCCAGTATTGCGGCTATATAAAATTATCAATTGTAAACGAAGGCAAAGTAGCCTAGAATCTTTGCACAAACGCAGTTATCAATCTAAATAAGAAGCATAAACAATAATGTTTGTAAAGGATTAATTGATGAAAAATAATAATAATTAAAAACATTAGCCCTATGCTAATGCAATTTTGAGAACATTTATTGTGCGGATCAAAAAAGTCAATATCAAAACTCTGTATTGTGAAAACAAATTGCATTTGTTATATTATAAGCATTTTATATACATCAATTTTCTGAATCTCTTATCCTCAATATTAATAGAAATTTATTCATCCTGTACACGCCTCACGGCTGATGTAAAGGGTGCTGTAACTTTTCCTGTTTAGCTGTTTGTGTAGCATTATTCTGTATTTATTTTCTATCCTGACACTTATTAAATTGCCTGCTATTTTGCTCTTCAAAGTTGGATACGTTGCACTTTAACGCAGTTCCAGCAAGGCCTCTGTGAAGTGTACTCAGTCACTCAAGCACTTTTAATTCCGGTCTTTCACAATGATGTGAAATTAGCTTAGCAATTAGCGTGACTTCTCTGGCTTTCCCTATGTTAATTACTCCTTGTAATCCGTTTATGAGAACAATACTTGAGTAGATTATTCACCGCCACGGAGGTGAGATGATGGAGGCTGTGACGATTGAGATAGGAGCGAAACTGCAACATATTTAGCAGGCAGTTGGAGTCAGCCCAAGTTTGTTGCTAAATTTGCTATAGGTAGCTGTCTCGCCTCAACCTACCGACAAGCTAGGTGCAGGTGACATTAGCAGCCCAACAAAGTATCTTGAGATAGTCTCCGCCACTCAGTGATCGGAAAAATGTAAAAATCTGTTGGTTTTATTCTTCTTCTTCTTTTTCTTTTTGGATGAGGCTAAAAATGCAAACTGATACGCTTGTGTAGTTTGAAGGAGTACACACTCCCCTGCATCAGGTGTTTTTTTTTTGGGGGGGGGGAATATAAAAAAAAAAATACAGGTTTGTAGTTTGTTTATTATTTACAAAAGTCGTAGTATTCATTATTTATTCATTTTCATGTACATGTACTGTTAATTTTGATTTTGCACCGTAGGTTTGCAAAGTAGGATGACTCCGAAAATCGTTTACTTCGTTGTATTGTTGTTCAGTATTCCACCTGGTGGCAGCTCTGTGGCATAAGACTGATAAGTGAAAGCTTTTTGCCCATCAAATGAAGCAAAATGTCAGATTTATTGTCGTTGAAAATCAAGACTTGGTGTGCAATACCCTGGACGGGTATTCTATCAGTCACAGGGTGTTTGTGAATGTGAACAGCACAGTGAGTGGTAATCAATGGCATGTCAAGTCAGCTTTATGAACAATTATAGTACACGACCAATTTCATTTTTGAAGTGGACTTCACTTGGTACATGGGATTGTGACAATCACAGGGCAAATGTGAATGGGGCTAATTCTGGGAATCAACCCTATACCAAGTTCACTATGCGAGGCACTAAAATAACAGTGACATTCAATTCCAGCTGGCTGTGTGAGTGAAAAGCAGAGAAGTACCTTCGTTGGTTGCTAGTCAGTCACAGTGAGATTGTGAATGGAGCATTGAGTTTGACCCGACCCATCCCTTTGTGACCTATGTGAATCATTATAAGATCAAATGCATTTTCACATTGCAGCCCAGAGTGCGGACAGGCTCACTGTACCCCAGACTGATCGTCAGTCAATCGCAGGTTGATTGTGATGGTCACCTTTGTGAATCACGACACAACCATTGGCCTCACTCCCAATTCAGTCTTTTTCTGCATTGTTCTGTTAGCTGCTGCTATGTTTCTCACCTGTTTTTCTGTCTGCAGCTCTCTGGTGGTTGTGAATTGACGGTGATCCTGCAGGACTTTACAGCAGGATGTAGCAGTGAGATATCTGTCAGTACCGGTAAGCATCTGCCCATGGACTCGTCAACTTCTGATTGTGTGTTTTCTTGACGATGTTTTGTGATGACTACTTGTCTCTGTCTCTCTCACTTCAGGCCAGACAGTGGAGCTGCTGGAGAGGCCCAGCGAGCGGCCCGGCTGGTGTCTGGTTCGGACGACTGACCGCAGCCCACCTCAGGAAGGTCTGGTACCCAGTTCAGCACTGTGTGTGTCCCACTCGCGCTCCAGTGTGGAAATGGACTGCTTCTTTAACTCAGGGAAAGGTAAGCAGATTTTTTTTACCTTATATACGACATACAGTATATATAAAAATGTACCAATGTAAAAATAAGTTAACCAATATCAACAACAACAAAAATGACTGAAAATAATGATGGAGAAACATGAAAATGGCTCACATCGCTGATGTCAGTTTGAACATTAACTGTCATCGTCAAGTATTAAAACAATTTTTTTTTAAATGTTAATCTTTCTTAAACCGAAAGACGGTTCACTTCAACACTATAATTGGGAAGGCAGAACAAATTTGATCCATGTCGCCTCGCACATCTCAATTTGGTCATACAAGTGTTAAAAATGATGTTAAACAGTTTATCAATATGTAAAATCAGTAAAGTACTATTTAACATTATATTAAAGGCATAGCATAGTACTCATCTGCCTCACAAATTTAATTTTTTTGTGTCTTTGTCGTACAAAATAAGTTTAACCACTCTTTCTATTCAAACCAATAAAACTAATGACAAGTTTGTGTGCTAAAGCTAAGTCACGTTGTAGATGCTCATCTCATTTTGTAACATTTTTCGTTGTCACGCAAGCATAAAGCGGAATTACCCGCGGCAAAAAAACTGAACATGATCAAACGTTTCCTTGACGACGAAGTGTTCGTGAACTCCTCAGGTCGGTTCAACAAGATTCTCCAACATTAATCTTCATAGGAACACATTTTCACACCTCAAGCAAATAATAACCCGGCTTGTGTCAACTGCGGGTTCACACATAATTTGCATGTGTTTGACAACCCAGTGCATGACTCAGTATATTGCTATAAAACAATATCATACTACATCTACAAAATATGTATAAAAATGACATTATGAAGAACTATTTGGGACACACTGAACAAAAAAATGTTTAAAATTCTTGTGAGAACAAAAGTACTATCGTATCTTTCCCGACTACACATTTACAAAGTGTCAACCTTATTTTGTACACTGGGAAAAGAAAAAGATCTTCCCAAAATTATTCCCACGAAGTTAGAAACATACAGTTGGACACAATAACTCGAATGTATTGGCCCTGTCCCAATACTTTTACCCTTAGTGTGTGTGTGTGTGTGTGTGTGTGTGTGTGTGTGTGTGTGTTTTATTTTTAACAACTACTGGTAACTTCCAGGTAATCTTACCAACACTGACCTCTCTTGTTGGGTTTGAGATATTACAATATTTTTGTTGGCTGCCACCCAAACATGCCCAAGAATTAAACTTACCACATTTACGCACGTATTTCAGAAATTATGTTGTTTTTGTTCCAAAATGACATAAATTAAAAAATTGTTTTGTAGCATTTCGTTTTATTGCAAAAAAGATTTTCCGGTTCACACCAGTTTTTGTTACACACCTTGATTTGGCCCACCCTACATATGTCGCTGAATGCTAACGCTAATGTGAATGTTAGTGTAGTGACCCAAGTGCTCTTAACTTGTTACAAAAGCAAAACTAATTTTCACGACCAAATTTCATGAAGCATACTTTTTTTTATCAACACGAAAGCGTATACAGTACTGTTACAGTAATACAGAAAATGCATCCTTGATTTTATTTTGGGTTGACGTCCACGAACACGGAATGCAGCAACACTGTGCCTGTACGAGCTTTAACATCTGGGCTCGTCATATCTACTCAGTACTTTCTTGCAAATTTTGATCCTCACTTACTTTATATTTGGAAAATGTATAATTGTTAGAAACTGCAGCACTTTGAAAATATGGAATGCACTTCACTCGTTGCATTTAAGCGCTTTAGACTCTGGATTAAATGTGGAAATGTAAATTATTGAAGGATATTCTCACTTTTATGTCTTGTATATATTTTGTTTCCTTACAAGGGGCTATGAATGTTTTTTTTTCGCAATGTTTTTTTTTTCTACAAATTTTCTTCAAATTTGTTCACAACACTACACTATGTGGTGTGTCAATTTCGTTTTTTATTTTATTTTATTTTTTTACTTTAACCCCTGAAGGGACGGCGGTGACTAGAGTGGACAGTTTATCATGTTATCAGGTTACAGGGTGCATGAAAGGGTTAAATGCACGAAGTACCGATGAATGGTGGCTGAAAATGAAACTTGATTTGTGCTGCTTAAAGGAGGGAGACAGAGCTCCTCCTCTCCCTCCTCCTCCCTCCACTTTCTACTACTCCTCTCTCAATCTCAGTCCGCTCTCAGTCTGGCTGCCTGAACTTGTACAATATGCCTTTGTGTGTGCGTGAGAGATACAGGTGTTTAAATGTAGCATAAATTGCGTGTGCATCCCTGTGTGTATGTGTGTGTGCTTGTGTGTGTGTATGTGTGTGTATGACAATGAAGCGAGGCTGGCATTGCTGCAGATGGATCTTTGACCACTGCTGTTGCTGCTGCACAGGTGAGCTGAATTTGTTTGGGCGTGTGCGTCTCTGTGTGTCTGCACATGTGTAAAAAAATGAAACCAAAACTTCAAGAATAACCACGATGACTTTGTGGAATGTGTGACATTGGAGTGGAGCGCGGAAGTTACGTGTGTAGTTGCTCATCTCTCGATCTTTGACAGCTTACCTTTTATTTAACTTTACAGTTTGATTGGTCTACATAAGGACGATTTTAGGATGATGTCCTTCCACCTTATTAGAGAGCATCTACTCATTTCTGACTGTCTACATGTGACGGTGTGTGTTCTTGTCTTTCTGTCTCAACAAGCCTTTGACCGCACCTTCATTCTGAGCACATTTCTACTGGTCCCGACAAACAAAAATGCGTGTGTGTGCGAGTGTGTAGGTTTAGCAGCATGAGCGATTTTTCAGAACTGTTAAGAAATGAGCGCACTTGTTGGACCATGCAGGTCCTTCTGTTGAACTGAAAGTTTTTTTTGTTTTTTTTTTGTTACCTGCTATTGATTCTTATGGAAGTCAGCCAGCTCTCAAGCAATTATGAGAATTACAATTTTGAGTTTTAATTGATTTATATTTTTGAAAAAGCATCTGAGCTCAGGCACGATCAGGATTGAGCTCATCAAAGGGGGAGCACAAGCTGGAAGGTTTGGAGACAAGGCCAGAGAGGCCAGAGTGAGAGTATTGACACGTGGTGTGTGTATATATATCGGGCGAAGGATGCTGCCATGTAAGAGGCAGAGAAAAATTAGAGCAGAAGATACAGAGAACAATGAGAGAATAAGAAGATTGTAACATTTGACGAAAAATGTTTGAAAATGGCAACAACAAAAAAACTCACACATATGTTGAGTGTTCTACTCAACAGTCTCCACACTGCTGCAGCTGCCCTCATTCTCTTCTCTGAATAGCATCTGAAAATACACGACTAGAATTAACAAAACATAAGCACCAATGCTTCCATTAGCTTAGCCTGTTATTTATTTTTTTAGACTCGACATCATTTTGCTCCACAGTCCCCGCTTTGCTGCAGTGACCCGTGTTCTTGAGGCCCTCAGTCTCCTCTTCAATAAAATATTTGCATCATTGCTTTTTGAAGACACACACTCTCCCTCGGGATTTTAAAAAAAACCAAACAAAAACCCTCAGTCTGATTCTTTGATTTGTCAGTCCAATAAAAGCAGTTTGGGTATGCACAATGGTTTATCGTGTGGGTCAACATGCCAGCTAAACGTTAACTTTGTGGCTTTGTGCGGACAACCGCAGCGGACTTTGGCCCGTGACTGTGCGAGATTGCTACTGTATGTGGCTGAACCGGTTGTACTGGTTTGCACACAGCCAAGCTAGCAAAAATCTGTGGCTGTGTGTTGAGAGTTCATCAGCGTCAAATGGTGACAGTCTCAATCCCATAAAACAGCTCACCTGAGACTTTACAGAAAATAAATGACACCCTAGCTATATCTGATCTCATTAATGGGAGTGGCCACTTAGGGGAAAAAAATGTTTGCTCGCAGCAATCATGACAAAAATTTTTGTTTGCGCAATAAGAATAGATTTCCCGTTTTCTTGCGCGTGATTTTTAATGACTCATTCTACACCGTAAAATGCTTGTTTGTCAGAAGATATGTGATGTCATCACAAGAACTGCCAGTAACCACACAGCAACATATATGAGGAGGATTTATAAATTGCAGTCGCCCGATGGAATATGCATTACTGAAGAAATATGAGAACGATAGGTGCTGGCTCAGCCTAATTTGCAAAGTCTTGAAAGGCAACATGCCAACATATATCAGCACTTTATCTAGCTGATATTATCATAACTCAACATGTTCAAGTGACTGTTTACTGCTCAAAGTTCCCTGGACTACGACTGAGCCTGATAAAAGTTCCTCTTTTGATTACCTACCAAGAGTGAAAGCAAGTTATCGAGCTTTATTTTTAAATGTTCCTCTTTTAATGTATTTCATGTTCATATCAAACCGTAGTGTCGTAATTAGCACATCGGCCTCATCATGGAGACATCCTGGGTTTGACTTGAGCAACCTTTTTAACTACTGACTCGACTGCTTTTACTCCTCCCATCATTTTTTTCAAATCAGTGATAAGAAGACACAGCAATCCCGACATTGGCATTCCTTGCACAACTCCATTTTGCATTCTCGAAACACAAGCATAAACTTGAATGTCAACCATGACAGGACTGATCGCACGTATTCATCAGGCAAGGAAGCATATGTTTAACTCAAGAAAATAACAGCAGTTTCAATGACATATTATACCCCATAAAATAATAATGATAATAATAATTTGAGTCCCAAACATAAAAATTAAATGTCTCATATATAGGATAATTTATATAACAGGTTTATAATATGTATAGGGTTTAAATGTTAGTCATGAAGAGATAGATTTTGAGGGCTTGTCTTAATCAATTAGTCAGTCATTCAGAGAATGGACTATCGAGTCATTTTTCAGTTTTTTTTTTCTTGGATAGGAAGCGGGATGTACACCGGACTCTTAGGCAGTCACTTGAAGAACTGAAGTTGGACTCCATCACTTCATTCTTATGATTTATTTGTTTATTTTTTTAAACATTTGGGCTGGGTCGCCCGCTGGTC